TATATATATATATATATATATATATACATAATACACACACTTTACAATCCAATTTTTTTTTAATTAAAAACTGTTAATATTGTAATGCCATTATAATTGATTCGAACAACCCAAAATTATCTTAAATATATTTATATATTTATTCAAAATTTTTCATTTAAAAACATTTTACCATCAAAGTAAAGCCGAGCTAAACACAATAATGTGTCAGACCATGTTCCTTCGTCTAGGACATGAATATTATTATCACTAAAATTTACTTCGGAAAGCAATGGCATTTCCGAAAACATGTCGTTCGGTAAAATGCTTATCTTGTTGTATCTGCAAAATAAAAAAAAATCATTTTAAAAAACATTTTTTAAATCATTTTCATTCAGTTTCAATTTATGAACAGAACGATATCCCTGTTAAAAAATTCCGGATCAAATTACGGCAAAAATTACCGGCATTCAGGGTGCTGGTATTTTTTATCATAAAATCCATTTTCACCGGAGCATGTTACAAAACATAAATTCTAATATTCCGTAATTTTTGCAATAATAATTACCATAAAATCATTGAAACACTTTAATTAAATAAACAAATTTTACAATAAAAATGGATTTTACGAAAAAATTGATTCTACAATAATACACCTTAAATCACGATCGTATAGTAATTACATTTTTTATAGTAATTTGATCCGGAATTTTTTGCAGTGTTGGCTGATATCAAAGTAAATTTTCTATTTAAATACAAAGCGGAGTAAAAGCACATTATGTATATTTTTCTAGTTATAAAAACGGTTATTAAAATAAATAATATATTTTTCATTACACTTTTTTATAATCTCACGATTTATCAAATAAATAAATTTAAAAAAGATGTTCCTTCATTTATTTGTCACAAGGTGCTTCACTGCAAATACTTTAAATTAAGTAGAAGAGAGCCACCAGTTGAATCAAATTGGAATGATTTACAATGGGGAAAATTTTTTGTTGCTTTTTCAAATACTTGATCTTACGTATTTCGATATCATATTGTTATTAAAATTTATAGAAAACTAAGCTGGATTTTTTTTTATTTCAATTTGTTTAAGCTTATGTGCATACATACCACTAGAAATAGAGTTCCCCTGTACGATAATTAAAGTTGCCATATCATTGAAATAAGAATATTAACGTCGAATCTTATTTTTTACTCTATACGTGAGAAAAAACAAGAATTTCAGAAATAATAAGTTAAAATAATTCTTTTTAGACAATTTTAAAATGGAGGGCGCAAATAAAAGAAGGAAACATCAACTTTTAAATTTTTCTCCTAGCAAATTCACAAAATTTCGAAATTATTTGTACCCTTTTTACCCCTTTCAAACGAGGACAAGGAAATTAGTAATCCACTTGTTAGTATTTTTAAAATAATGTGGATGATAAAGGGACCCATTTTTCTAAAGGTTCGAAATAGCTGTTAAGTCTTCTTACCGTAGACTGTTGAGTCTTATTCCTTTGATAACATAAAATCTAGGTTCTTTTCGTGTAAACTTGTTAGTTGATTGAATTCGGATATTAATTTAATTAAAAACAATTTTTCATGTTCTCTGAATAAGCTGAAATAAGTTAAATTAATCATTAATTACATACCAAAGGATTTTTCATTGTTAATAATATAACAAAATTCATAATTTTACTGAGATATAAAAAGTTTTTACATATTGTGAGAAGCAAAAGATTCCCAGAAAGAGATACTTTTGGGCTATTTGGACCTGTTGTACTTCTTGAACTAGTCCAAGTACAACTTACATACACTTTTCTAGTATTCGTAAAATTTGCATTTTATGTTTAAGAGAATGACAATTCGGAAAGTTGGTTACCCTTGTTAAGCTTCAAAATACAAGAAATATCGGGTTTTATTTTTCCTACCTAATTCATTGAAAATCATGACTCCACTAAAACAAAAGATCGCTATCATAAGCCTGTAAAACCATGAAGATAGTCAATGTTGATACGAGCATCAGCCACAGATGAAGCAAAACTCCTATACTGGTTGGTGCAAATATTACATTGGCTGACGGTATATGCAACATAAGGTGTTGCACTCTCGCCTATATTTAAAATGTGCATTATTTGTAACAGATTTCAAGGATTTTGGACCTTATGGTAAATAACAATAATGTTTTCTATATCCGTAATTATAGTCTCATACGATTTACAATTCAAAGTGCGTATTTTTTAAATTCCACGAGTTTGGATTACCAGTTTAGATGCAAGTAATGAAGTTTCCAGTTTATAAGAAAAAGAAGAGAAAAGATTTCTAAGCTTTCTACTTAAAATAAAACTAAAATCAAAAGGTACTAAGTTATTGGCTGCGAATGCGAAAAACATATAATACAATAATGCGAAAAACTTTTTGCAACACCGATTTCACTTCGGTACATATAATTATGCATTTATAAACGAATGAAAAATGCGTTCGAAAATAACTGTCACAAGGAAATATGAATATGAATAGCTGTATGTAATATTGTGGTTTGCCACTTTTTCAAAGATGACATTTTTATACGCAGATTTTTCCAGAGAATACAATTTGAAAGTCTTTGGAGCTTTTACTAAATCGCCACACAATTGCCAGAAAACTTATATCACTTATATTAAATCTTGGTGGTTTTGCCAAAAAACAATTTCCCGAATAATTGGAAAAAAAGTGGCTTATCATTACATAGGCCCAAGCTCTTCGTACACTTTTTAACTTACTGTAGGTCCATTTTGCGTAAATGACTGGCTGGTGATGGAAACATCGATCTGGATACGTGATTAAAATGATTTCCCACCACAGTTATAAACATCAAATTGTCCAAAGAGTGGAACACCTTATCACCTAATTCTTTGATTTCACATCTTTCAAGCAACAGCATTTGCAATGTTTTAGGTCCATTGGCAAAACAGTCATTACCAATTGTAGGAATATTGTTGTCTTGAAAAGATGCTATCTATAATGAATATATTGTTAAGATTCAAATTAACAGTCACAGGTAAGATATAGAATGATATTCATTAAAATAATGCAATATGTAATACTTCATAGACAAACACTTTTTTCCTCCGATTAAAATCTAAGAATAATTTTTAAAAAAAAGACTTAGTGCTGTGTAAGAAGGCAGCGGATGTTCCAAAAATGTCAAACGATTTTAAAGATGAATTCTGGGGAAAAAGTTGGAGTTAAAACGTATACAGTTTGCTGCGATTTCTTTAAGAATAAAGAAAATTTGTTCATAATAAATTTTATAATTAGTTACAAACTTAGTACTGCGTGCTTCAAATATAGAAAATTTTAAGAATATGTCCTTAGCATAAGTATCATTCATCATTTGAACCCGTCCTAAACATAAGTATCATTTACAAAAACATGTGAAGAAAATTACGAGACACACGTGCTGATATTATTGGTGAAGTGATCTAATATGATGCAGAAAACATTGCTTTGGACATTTCTAGACAACAGTGCAAACTATATCCAAAATTTTTAAAAAAATATTTCTTCATCCGTTTATATATACTTTGACCCTTCAAATCTTCAGTTTATGTGGGAATAAAGTGCAGAAAGGCTTTAACTCTTGATTTTATAAAGCAACATGCCAGTGTCATGTTTATGATATTTCAATAATGGAAGTATTATATGACAGGCATTTGGGGGAAATAATAATAAAATTGTTTTGGATTTTTGGAGATGAGAGAGACTTTTGATATTAATTTCAAGTTAAAAAAGGGACATCAGCATTTATTAAAACAACAGTATATGCTAAAAATTGTTTATACAACATAAATTTATCTTATCCTAATTTCTCTTGCAGCAGTGGATCAGGGAATCGGGCTTTCGCCTCCCAATGAAATATCCCAAATTCAAATCGCAGTGAGTTTTTCATAAATATCTTGAGTTTTTCAGAACAATAAAACATTTTATCAATGCTTAAAATGTAGATTAAGTTGAAACAGTGTCCAAAAAGTGTCACATAAACAAACATACGATCGCTTTTAGTATAACATGAAACACTTTATTCAGGGTCGAAAAACTAAAATTCCGGAGAAATAGACCGTTCATTTGAATTTAAAGTTTAATTTTTTTCTAGAAAAATGTCTAGGCTTACTTTCATTTTTTCCAGATGACTCAGTTTCATATTTAAAAGCATGGAATCTGTGTTGAAACTGTTTTTAATTTCCAGTTCCTCAAGTGATTTTTCAAGACCTGAAAACGGAGTGGATCCTAGAGAAAGTGGACCATTATTGACTTGCCAATTATCCAGCACCAACTGTTTCACATAAAGATCCTTAAATAAATCATCAGGTACTGAAGATGTTCTAATTCCAGCCAGCGTTAATTGATGAATGCCGTATCCATTGAGTCCCTCGAGATTGGATTGAAGATCTTTTTGGCTTTTAATCTGGTTGCAAGATATGACAGGAGCTAAAAACGAAATACAGGACATGATGTTAATGTGTTTTAAACAAGTTTTTTTATTGTTCAAATACTTTAGAAACCTTAAATAGCAAAATACTTATGAACATAGCGATGATTCAGTTCTTAAAGCACAGAGTTGTCATTGTGAAGTATTGCAATTTGAACCCGGTGGCGGCTTGAAGATTACTTAGATCGAAGATTATCAACTTATCTGGAAAATAAATGCAGTCGGTGTGCATTGCTGACCTGCTGATCACATTACCACCATTTTTCCTATGATCACGAAACTATGGAGCCTCCATGATTCCTCCTGGTCACATATAGCCGTTGCTGGAATGTTTTTTTAACTTGTGAATGTGCTAATCACCCCCCAAAAAAACTCATGAAATGTAAGTGCTGGCGCTTTTCACAAAGTAAAATCGTCTTATTTCACCGTAAAGTAAAAATTCTATATGATATGATGTTTAAGGAAATACAGAAGCATCCGTTATGAAAGCTTTACAGTTAACATAAATGAAAACAGTTTATGTAATTACCCATTTACAAAAATTTTGGCAAAATACATTTAACTTAACAACAATAGAATACTTATATTATTATACATATATATATTATTATATTAAAATACTTATTAGTAAGAGAAACTATTTATTAGACTTATTCAAACAGTTCTTTAGTTCGAAAACGGATATTTAGGCTTTTAAATTGCTCGCAATTTTTTTTCATAATAGATGGAAGTAAGTCATAAAAAAACTTGTTAGTCTTGTGTTACTCTTTTAAATAAACAATTGTTCTACATCACGCTTTGAAAAAATTTTAAAAAAATAATAAGACATAAGTATCAAAAATAAAAAATTTAAAAATATATCATTATTTTCAAAAAATTATATACTTTTAACAAACTTTCAAAATTACTAAATGGAATGATGAAAATTGTTGTAAGAATCTCACATAGATTCAAGGTGGCTTAGCTTTGGACACATAGATTTTACAAATATTCGAACTGTATTATTTATTATTACGTGAATATTTTGAAATTATAGCTCAAAAAGAAAAAAGAAAAAAAACATACATAAAAAAATATATTTAAAAGACATTTAGTCAGCCTAAGAAAATTTATGACAAATACTCAATTTAAAAATGTATTCAAACGTCTTATTCAAAAAAAAACTTTTTGTAATTTCGAGCACTAATTTACTAGGAGATTTCATGAAGAGAATCCCTACTATAATTCGCTTTTCTACTAACAGTATGAACAAGAAAACTTGTGCCAAAGTAATCAGGATAAAATAAAACCTTTATTTATTTGAGTTTCCGAAAAGTTAAAGAACAATTACTTTAAATTTTGCACGCATTTGAAATCAATTAGTTTTTCGAAATAGGTGTGATCATTATAAATTAATAATTGTAAATTAATGATTATAGATTTAAATAATTGTCCAGATTATTTTACTTTTGTTTAAAATGCTATACTCAAAAAAAAATAACTAAGTGGTCCACCCTGAATAACATATAAAAGTAAAAAGTGGCATTAGTCCCTTAAAAAAATCATATTTTAAAAAATTGATTTCTCAAGAACTACTAGACAATTTCTCTCAAATTTTGCATTTTTCCATGCAAGACTAAATTAATTAAAATTACGAACAAAATTTATGTAACTTACAATTAAAAAAAATTTTGACTATTATTACAAAAAAGATTAAAAAATACTATCTACACATTTACTAAAAGTTACTTTTGCATGGAATTGTCTTTGGATAATTTAGAATAAGCAAATTTTATAATTGTGGGATAACACTTTTCAACTCGCTTAAAATGCTCTCGAGATCGGGCAAAATACGCAAAAAAACAAAGTTAACATTAAGTAATCCAAACCTAGGACCACTCTCCTGTCCAAACTTTTGTGATCATATTTCCCAGATCGCAACCACTCTTATATTTTGGGGGTCAGAAAACCAAACCAAACAAAAAAGATCAAAGTACGTTTTTGTGTCTGACTTTGTCACTTAAAATATTGTCTGCAATTAATTGGGATATTTCAGGCCACCCCCTCAAACCATTAAGATTGAGTCCTGGAACGTGAAAATCCGATCATTAGATCAAAAACTATTCAAGGTTGTCCGTTTACTTTTTTTTGCGCACTGTACATACTTACAAAAGGCTATTTTTGAATGTAATACATGCTGTAGCAGATTATTTGTTGCAAAGAAAACATTCTTCATGGTTCCCTTCAAAAATCATATATTATTCAGAAAATGGGAAAAAATTTCAGATTTATCCCGAAAGCAAAAATAGTTTTCTCTGAAAAGTAGTTTAAGTTAAAACTTAATGTGCTATAAAAGCATAAAGTAATAGAATAAAATATGAATATTTGAAGACATGATATTCATAGTAAGAAAACTTACTATAAATGTTGTACAGAGTTATTCATACTTATGATTTTTTTTCTTAACAAATTTCGAATTATTTAAATGCAAAATCATTTCTTACTGTCCATAGCGTCATATGACTCTGATTCATTTAAAAAAAATATACCTAAACTAGCATTTTAAGTGTAAAAAAATACATTTGCATATTTCATATTCTTAAATTTAGCATTAGAACCTAAGATTGGAAGAGCAAACTAACAATTGCGTAGATCGTTCTTTTCGCGGAAAGCTAACTTCTAATAATAAACTATTTTTTACTTTCCATTATTACGTTTAGCAGAAAAAAAGTGTATGTAAATATCGCAGTACTATTTTCTGTCATTAAAAAGTTAACAGAAATTATAGATAAAATATTGCTTGTTAGTAATAAATACATGATATTATGAAGTATACATATAAATACGTATTTTTTTTTCGAAAGTGTTATTTTAAATCTTTTTAATCAGTTTTATTTCAGAAATTACATTAGCTATTATTTTAGAACGAATTATGCAAAATTAAATTATTAACAATTCGAAAGAGCAAGTAAGAGTAAAGCACAGCAGTTTTATTTAAACTTACTGTTTTGTCTCAAAATAATAAGCCTTAGTCTTAGAAATTATTCCTATAATAATAAATGTCTTAGTTATTTTCAGGGAATCATAACTTTTTTGTAGTGCTAAAAAGATCTTCTCGGTATTTAAAGGCGAATAAGGATCAGATTATCCTGTCTTAAACCCTAATGACATTTTTAAAAGTATAACGATATCATCGCTTTTCTTATTGCTTTCTGAAGTTATAGCTACGCACCTAAGAGCCATCTGCAAGAACATGACGTCATTTCCTCCGGTAAAGGACACTCATTCCAAAGGGATGCAGCATAAGCTACGGAAATACTTGCCAATACAAATCCAAAAAACTGTAATGCCATCTGAAAAATAAATACATTAGAAATATTGTTTTAACTATATTGTTTGATTCCGCTTACCGTATCTCGTTTTTCAATGTTTAACTCCTTGAAATTCTTTATTTGACAGAAAACTGAAATTTACAGAATAAATTACAGTGTTTGTTAAATCTAAATTAAAGATTGTTATTCCTATCAGTTATCGATTTTTGAAAGATTCAAAACTGTTCTTTACGAACTAATTAAAATTAAATTTGAAACCTTTAAAGCATAGGATATGGTTAGGAAAAGTTGAAAAGAGTTATACTTCAAATTAAAACCATCGACTTTTTAGCTATTAATTGAACTTAAGCTAACATAAAGTTAGGCTTAACGTATATGCTCGCAAATTATAGTCGCATAATGGTGTTTGGGGTTTTTAGATCAATTGTCTAAATTGAATTAAAGCAAATCATTATTTAAAGCAAAACGAGATGATATTTCTCAATTACTAATAATTTCGTACGCAAATGCGTACCGTTTTACAGAGCTGATAGAAGAATATAAATGTTAGAATTCCTACATTTTAGTGTTAGAAATCTATTGCCCCAAGGGTAGTTCTTTATAATTATTTTTATAAAACTGTAAATATTAGAAGTAATTAATATGAGTATAACTGATAAAGAAAAATGACAAATACTGAGAGGGAAAAATGGTAAATTAGGCATTCCTTCGAGAAAAAAAAATAGTTTCGCATATTTTAAGTTATTTAAGTTATTTTTTCTGTTGTATGAGATTTTGAAACAAAATTCAGATACTTTTGTATCACTAGTTTTAAATCTCCAATCAGTTAATTATAAGTTATAATAGTTAAATTATTGATAAAATTATAATAATTATGAGTTGTAATTTAACATGGCTTACTGAGCAAAACTATTAAATAATTGTTTCAGAGTAATTAAAACTTACAACAAAAATGTGAAACAATCTGTTAACAAATTAGCAGACGCCTGTGTAAATATTTCAATTGTAATGATCAAATATCCCTGGAGTGTCTAATTCGCTCTTGGCATTTCCGGCAAAATTAAATTCCTAGTGCACTTTAGCATACAAATAGAGTCTCGGTGCTGCTATCTAGTGTGGCAGAAACTAAACGTCCAAATTAACATGACCAACGGTATCTCACCCATTGTGGTGGTCCTGAAAGAGTGGATACCACCTCTGGAGAACGCACTAGGTCTGCTCATCGGCAAGACCGATTGTGCAGCTCATTAGAAATGAAAAAAAAATTAAAAAATTAAAAAAAATGATCAAATATCATGCACAAGGGGAAACAAATTCTGGAAAAGTTATCGTATAGTTTAATAATGGCAATTCTAGCAGTAACAAAAAACTATAATTTGGGTTAGTAAAGCTAAAATATATAGTATTTAAAGTACTCATTTGGTAATTTTTTCGTTCGAAATTCGTTTTGGAATTACGGTTCTTATTACCACATATTTAGTAAAATATACCGAACTGTAAAGTTAATTTATCCAAATAATGTACAAATGTAAAAAAATGTAAAATTGTACAACTATTTCAATTCCTATACTATTAATAATATGATTTTTTTTCTTCAATAAATTGTTAAAATACTCATTCACTTGATTACAATAAATAAAGTCACAGATTTTTTAAAATCCTATTTTCACAAAATCAATCTCAAGTAGAGTAATTTTTAGAAATGAAATAGGTAGTTATTGATTGTCTATTATTTGCCTTATATTTTTATTCTTGAAGTTTAAGTGTATAATAAATTTCTTACCTTCATCTTCGTGATTTTTTTCAATTGACAAAGAGAAAAAAAAACAGCATATGTTCTTATTCAGTTGTTTATCTCTTTAAGATAAGTATGTTCCTATGTTTCTTTTCCTGTGTCAGAAGATGTTTTTGGAAGCCAAGAATATTTTTCTAAAACTTTGTAGCGTGAAAAAAAAGTTTTATTTTTATTTTTTTTATTTTATAACCGTCGTTGAACAGAAGACCCAATTTTGAGTTTACGGCTACTAATGTTCAACTCCGTAGCCTTTAATTTTGAACCAATCCCGAACACAAGGAAACTCCTGGATATATACCCCCAGAGGTATGATTTGTTATGGGAACATGGAGGATTTTCTGAACCGACAGATTTAACGTGCACCAGTCATTATTTGCGAAGAAAAGTTCTGTCAAAACCATCAGAATATGGTAACATTTACTGTGTTTCAGGATGTATAAGGACGCCAAAAAGCTAGGTATTTTTTACCGTAGCGCTTTGGTAATGATTTTGATAAAACTGATAATAAAATATGCTTTTATAATATGTGATAAATTTTAGTAAATGTGGAAAAATTTGGCAATAGAGAATAGCATAAAAGCCATATTTTTCGGTAAAATTTACTTTTCAGTTTTTTATTTTTTATTAAATGTGTGCTAATATGTCAGAAACTGTGGTAAAAAGCCAAACCGGAACTTCCGGTAATCTGTTTCATTTACTTATTACACTTATTTATCTTTACAGTTTTGAAACCATTTCCAGCCAGTGTGTTAAAAAACGGTGATTACAAAATTGTACGGTTTTGTAACCAGTTAAAACTAGCATGGTTTCAAAACCAGCAAAATGAAATTTAACTGGGCATCGGAGTTAGATTACGTTAGGCTTTTCGTTAGGTAACGGAAATTGAAGCTAGGTTGAGTTGCATGTTGTCAACGTTGGCTGTGGCTTAATTAGTTTATCTCATGATGTTATCTATCTTGAGGAATGGGAAATATAAGATTTGTTAAGCAAATCTGTGGTGTTGCTATCTATGCATGAATGAAAGTTATCAAACAGATCAGAGTCACTAATTCAAGACAGTGTAAACTCTTCATATGTTGAAGAAATAGAAGAAATAATGCGGTGTTAACGTTGATATTTGACCGGACCTCGTGTTCTGTAGTTCATGAGATTGACAGATTAGCCCACTCCGGTACCGTATGTGCCCAACCGCAACGAGCTGAATGGCTTCATAAGGCGCGGCGTGTATAAAATTCTGGTTCTTTAACTTTATTCGATGAAAAATATCACTGCATGATTTTGTTTTACTGTTAACAATTTGAATGCCAATTCTTTATTGAAATGCTGTTGCTTTTGATGAAAATTGTAAAATATAGATCAATTAAATTGTTGTTTAATAATTTTTAGAGGAATTTCTATTAGTGAACAACAAAGGGAATCGTTCATTTACTGGAAAATATTTCTGTTATTTCCTTCCTAACCCGTATCATCCTTGCTACTGGGTAACAATCTTTTTTCTTTCCTTTACATTTTGGGCAACGACTGAAAGGTTCTTGCATCTATGAAGCGTGTCATAGGAAAACATTCATGGTGTCTATCATCGTCTGTTGTAATTACCGTGATTTTAGGAACACCCTGTAAGGACAGTAATGACTAAAAAACCTGCAAGGACGATTAATATGGAACACTCTATCACCAAATATAGCGAACATGAGCCGTGAGTTTAAAACACCGTTTAAAAATGGTTATTTCAGAACAACGAGCAAGGACGATTAATTCGAAAAACTGAGTAAAATCTGTTGCCAAATGTAACGACCATGCACTGTGATTTTAAGGACAGCTAATACGAAACAGTCTGCAATAAAGGTCAATATGGAACGTCTGGTGTAAACTTTTTTATTGAGTATAACAACACAAGATTCAACTTTCTTTATCACACCATTTTTCTTTTTAACACTACTTATAATTTACTATGTTCTACTCAAATAAAGGGAAATTTCAAAACAATAAAGGCAACAAGAACAAATCATATAAAGAATTTAATTTATTTTGCAAAAAATATGATATACCACACTATCATTGCTTGATATGTTTGTCATCTTATTACTAATCATCATAAATTATATTTTATCCTTCGTCGAAATTATTAATCCTGTTTTCCAGCTACGTCGCAAAACACTTTCAAAGAGTATTCCTTCATTGAATTAGGTGAATCACATTTAGCAGTATTGATATCCAAAGAGACTTCATTCTTACAGATCCACTCAAGATTTTTATCACATTTCAATGGATTTCCTATTTCAAAAATTTATTAATTAAATACATATTTATAAAAACATATAATTAGGTAAAAACATATAAAACATCAAAAACCACTGAACTTAGATGGGTACCAAACAAAAGAAATTCCTCAAAATAGGCGCAAAATTTTTTTAATGTAACGAAAAATGATAGATAGACGATTGAACTTAATTAACTGTATAAAAACTGTTAGCAAACTCCAAATAATTTTGTTATAATTATTATTATGTTTTCATGTCTTTTTGTGTTTCATTTTATTTGTGTGAAATAAATGTTATAAAAATTAAAGAACACCAGTGTCAAATAAATAACCGGATGATATGGTGATAGCGCTTGTTGAGAATTAAGAGATATTAAAGAATATATAAGACGCGCGCATGCGCGAAGAATTACGTAATGCTTCCAACCACGTCATCAGATGATATGTACGAGCTAAGGCTCCTATACTATCACAGCTGACCTATCAAGCAATATTGGAGCAAAAATGTTTACAAGTTAACGTTATAATAGTATTGTGCTTATGTTAGCTTTTTGCTCCAAAAATAGATGATAAGTCGGCCTGTCTAATTCAGGGGCTCTAGTACGAGCTAATTAATACGGTCGCTTTAATGCGGCTCTCTGTCTTTTACTATTGTTGTTGTTTCTGTTAATAAAATGTTATTAATTTTTCGAACTGCATAATTAATTAGGAACCTCGATGGACATCCTTTGGCCAATAATAATTAAGTTAAGTGATAGCGCTTCTCGACTTCGTCTGATACCCATTAAACAAAAAATAATAAAAAATGCATAATTATCTCATTAAAATTATTCTTAACTGGAATTAAATAAAAGTTATGTCTAAATTTGTATATAACTTTCTTTTCTAAAGAGTAAAAAATAATTTTCTTGCTTTAATAAAGGCAACATCACAACTTTTATATTAGTTATCATTAGAGCCCGGATATTTATGACCTAAAAAGTCTCAAGTAATACCCTTAAAAAGTGCAAAAAATGCCCTTAAAAATGCTCTAAAAATGCGATAATTGCGCTAAAAATGCCTTATGACATGAATGAATAAAGTAAAAATATTGAACTAAAACAATGCTTTACTCTTTAAAATAATTATGAGTCATTTCAAAAAATATAAAGCAATGCAATACTTGTTCTACGCTCATTAAAGTTTGAAAAATATGTTTTATATCCTAAAATAACAAAAAAAAAGGAAAATATATTCACTCCAAAACATTTTCATTTTGTATAGAAACTTTAATGAATATAACAACTTCCGTCTCATAATATTACTAAATATCAGAATTACATTGGATTATTAAATGTTTTTTGATATTTTGAAATGTAAGCGAGCGTCTCTTGTCTGAAGGTAAATTTTTATTCCTGGAGAAGAAAATTCCGTAGAAAATTGTAATGTTCTAAACTATACAAATCAGAGAAAATGCGAAAGCTGTAACAAAGAATTACTTCTAAAGATTTTACATCAATCAATAACATAATGGAAAAACATAATGACATGCAGGTGGTATTGAGAGTTACAACATGAAATGTAAAATTATAAGACAAATATTGCATTTCATGTAATAAAAATGCTCCAAAAAATAATGAAAAATGGAAAAAATTAACAAAAAACTTAAAAAATGCTTTAAAATGCAAAATACGTCCCTAAATTTAAAACAAAATGCCCTATAAATTTAAAAAAATGCTCTAAAGGACAAAAAATGTCCCAAAATGCAAAAAAAAATGCAAATGTCATCAAAATCCGGGCCTTAGTTATCATTTTAATTCGACAATTCAAGACATTTTAATTCGACACGCATTCTTAGCTAATGTATTAACATGCACAAAATGTAAAAATAATTTTAATATTTAATCCATTCAAAGGCATTTTCTTATAATAGCTAATCACAAATGCATAAAAAGGTAGTACTCACCTACTAAATGTATTTGTGTCTTTTTCAATATGGTTTCATCCTCTTCAACTGTATTAATCCAATTATTTGCCAAGTTGACGTACGCCAATTGAGGCATATTGCTGAACAAACCAAAGGGAATATCTTTTATTTTATTGTTCCTGCAAGATAGAAATTTAATTCTATTTTAAAATCATGAAGAATGACTTATTTATAATATGCAAAATTGTAATTTAGCTTGAGTTTAATTTACTTTTCTGCACTTTTCTTACAAATAAATGTGTACTTTTTATATAGGCGTTGTATGATAATGAGTAAGTAAATAAATGTGTAAGTAACTTTTCTAATGGAAGTGTAATATGCCCGCAGAGATTTGAAGGTTCACAACATAGGATGGCGAACATTGAATTTATTCATTATACTGAATATTTATTTTATTATCCCCTGAGACATCACGGCTCTGATGAATCAATTTGACGAAACCAGAATGACGAAATATTTCTTTATTTTTGACGAAAATGGTTTCCTTGAGGAAATTTAGTCACTCTGCCGAAATGTTCGCCCGGAGTATAAACCAGGAAGCGGTTTCTTCAAAAACGAAAAACATTTCATAAAATTTAGGTATTCATTTTTTGCAGTGTACTTCGGTGTAAAGTAGTCGCCGCCATTTTTAATGCTCAGTAACACTAAGATTTATAATCACGATATAAAATACACATAAAGTACGTCAAAGTTATTTTTATGAAATAATACAAAGCAAGCATCAATAATGTATGATGTTATATACAATATTTCTAAAGATGAAATTAGTTTAATAATGAAATATATTCAGAGTACAGAGAGGATATATGAATTTGTACCGAACGGGTTGAAACTATAAAATTATTTAATACAATTGATAGATAAAACTTTCTCGTAAGAACATAATTATCTTTATTATGCCACTAAAAACATATATGCCTTTTTATACTAACTACATTTCTTGTTTATTTCTATAGAATGTTCAGATGGGCGAGACGAATTTCACTTCTCTTTTCAATTGCAAACAAAAAATATGGGTCGGCTGAAATTGGAGGTTAGAAGTTTACTCCAAAATGAGCGAAAATAATTTATTAAAAAAAGTATATTCATCTAATTTTAGCGTAAGTTCTATCAATTGTCAGCGTCAAGATTTAAATACATCCTTAAAATTATTTATGAACGCTCGAAGTGGTATATAACACATATTTTTTAACGCCGAATTCGGATGATAATTCACAACAGTTTTTACGGTGTACGTATTATTCATAACACTGAAGAACCGATTTCAGATCTTAGATACTTTTGCATCTGCAGAGCTAACTAAAATCGCTGGTTTCAAATTTGCAACCGTTTTCTCCCTACAAACTCCGACTTTTTAATGACATATTTATTTATTTATTTTCGAAATATACGAGTTCAGAAATGATGAATATAACAGGGCTCGCATAGATGCTATGACAAACTTCTAGGAAAGTAAGGGCATATTATCAAGATTAAAGTTGCATAGAAACCCATGTCCAAAAATGTCATTATACACCACTAGCGGCTCTTCCCTATTGTGAATTGCTTCTTCATGTACTTCTGAAGAGGTCATAATATAAAGCTCTCCCAGACACGTGCTATGACATTTCCAGGTATGAGCTTCTATGAAATTTCAATCTTTATGATATTATTAATTCCCTTAGAAGCTTGTGGCAACATTTACACCACCCCTTGTTATATATAACGTTTTTAGTTTACTGATTACGACAAAAAAGTAGTCAATAAAGTTCATTTTAAAAATAATCTGTATCTTCAGGAGCAAAACCAACCTCAGATTTGAAATTTCCACTCCTGAATTAAGCAATATCATGTGTTTGCATAGGTGCAATCGAAAATTTGTCCTCAGGGTAACCCAATTAAATTTGCAAAAGTTTCAATCATAAGAGAAAACTGTGTTGCTCTTTTCCTTTTTATAAAGTTTTATAGACGCTACATTATGGCCAAATACGCCTAGCAAGTCTTGAAAATGAGCGCCTATTTCGGAGTGCTTGAAGCATGTTGACTTTAATTTGCATCTAAATATGTTTGAAGCCAGCAAAGTTTTTCATTAATCAAGCAATATCTTACCACTTCAAATCCTAGAGGTAATTTATTTAATACTACCTAAATTTCGGTAAAACAAGCTGGTTTAAATTTATTTTTAGATATCTCTTATTACGGTTTCACCAGTATTCCATTTGAAATAATTGGCACTAAAAATATTAACAGATCAAATTGAATCTTACGATAAATCAATATTTTCTAGCACTTTAGAATTTGAAGGGAACACAGATCTTGATATTTTTCTAAAAGAATTTCCAGTAATCGAAAGTATCTGCAGGCCATCTAAGGATTGGAAGGCTTTGTCTCCTAGTGTCCTAAGATCATTCCTTTGTAGCAAAATAGTAGATAGTTTTTTTGAGCCACCAGCAAACCAGTCATTAGTTAAATCATCAATGTTATTATCCGTCATCATCACAGACTAAAAGTAAGATTTTGACAAAGGACAAAAATTAATGTAATGCAACATAACAAAAATAAACAAACATCAACAAAAAAGAAAACATTGCGCATTATAAGGACACAGCCGAAGGTCACAAAGTTAAAACATTATCCATTGACGAAATATATTATACAATACTAAGTATAATATAAATATCGTTAGACAAAATTGCCTCAAAAAATCCTCATAATTGATTGAAATCTTATTGACTATGTTTTTTTTAATAAAAATTTTTCTGAAGCCTACCTTTAAATTCTTAAGATTGTCTAACTTCAAACCTGGAAGTGGATTCTTTTTAAAACTGTTGTCAATTACAAGCATTGTCAAAGACTTTTCTAATCCTTGGAATTGTATAACATCTGATGAAGCAACTTCGATTTTGTCCAAAGTGAGAAGCTCAATATGCAATCCTTGAAATGTGTCTGGTGCTAATTCAGGAAGTTCGACCTCGGATAGTGTTAGGTCGACAGAGTAACCTTTCAGCTCTTCAAGAGCTGACTTCAATGTTTTTACATCTGTTATTTTAGAGCAAGTTACTAAGGGACCTAAAATGAAAAACTATGTTTAAATATTTACTTGAAATAATTGAAATTTTATTTACAAGTACTCTGCTAATCATAAAAATGTCCCCACAAAAACCCCAAATAATTTAATGAAACAAAATAAAAATGTTTGATAAAGAAATTTTTTCGAACTAATAATATAAATTACGAATGCGGTAATAAGAAAATTAGAGGTACCTACATTTATGACTGAAAAAACGTATGTATTTTTCCTAATTTTTTAAACTAAATTTGAAAAAAAAAATTATGAGTTATAATAAATCATATACTTTTTTTAATAACTATAGTATTGAAATCTAACTTTCAAATAAATCTATTAAAATTAAATATATTATCAAACTACTTGCACTTTACGCATCTAACTATTCGATATGAAACAATAATTAATTTTTCCGTAATTCATAAAACTTAACCGTTTGCTCTTAACAGGTGCCTGTCAGTAACTACTGTCACCTATAAAATACCTACTATTTGAAAGCGACAAAATTTTTCCATTTTAATGTTGAGAGATCATTTTATTTAATGGCCCCGGGTAATATATACTGCAAAAGATCCCGATTCAAATTATGGTAAAAAGCACCGGCACTGAGGGTGCTGTTTCTTTTACCATGAAATTCTTTTCTATCGGAGCATATTACGGAACAATACTGTACTTTGTGCAGTAGTAATTACCGAAAAGTCACTGAATCACTTTAATTCAATTATTATTACTGCCAAAATTACAGTAAAAATGGATTTTACCGATGATGCATTCAAAGTGCCGGTATTTTATATTGTGATTTGATCCGGAATATTTTACAGTGTTTGGTAATTCTAAATATTGAGTTAGGTCTTGAGTTACTTCAGTTTTTTTTACAGTTGAAAAAACCTCGATTAATGAAAAAAAGCGAACAAAAGCCTTAAATCAAAAACTTTCTTGAAAAAGAAACAGAAACACACAAACAATTAATTTTATTAAAATATAGTTAAATTACCCCACTTGATGGAGCAGGTGCATGATGCTGATTTTAAAGGAGGACACTCCTTCAATAAGGCATCGACAGCAATGGTGCTGTACACAAGGAACAAAATGCTAGCTATGAATGCCATCTGGAATCTGAAATGTGTATTAAAAATTAAAACGAATAATAAAATATAAATTCATAAAACATTTTCTAATACATACTTTCCATACAAAATAAAACACGAAGTACCTTAACCCTCGTATGCCTGAATTTTCAGTTGAGTTATAAAAAACATTTAGATATGGTACAAGCCGATTTAATGTCTCAGGATTGTGGTGTAATAATTTTATTGTGGTGTAATAATTAATTAGAAATTTTTGTCCTGTATAGTCAAAAATTGGTGTCTTTATGTCCAAGTGTCTTCATGTCCTATATAATTTTAATCCTGGAAAAACTGAATGCTCATACTTCATTTACTAGGTACAATAAGGTGTAAAATTATATATTGACCTTTCCAGTAATTTAATATGCCCTCAAAAATAAATGAACAAAATAACAGATTTTCTCTTGTTTCTTGTATCTTCCGTCGACTCTCAAAGAGATTATATAACAGGGGTGGCCAACCTGCGGCTCTTTGAAAGATTATTTGTGGCTCTCGATAAATATACCCGAGTTCCTTTTTCATTTTTGTGCTATTAGAATTTTAAAAAATTATTGTTCCGTACGTTCCGAATTTTAGAAATTTGTTCCAGAATCGAAGTATCCAAAATTAAAAATGGCTGCTTGTCGAATTATTTCAATATTCGGAACAACGTACTTATGTGAATAATTTTATTCTACTTTAAAATTCGTGAATTCCAAGCACCGATCAGTCTTAACTAACCAGCATCTCAAAGAATTACTGAGAAGTGCTGCTTTAAAATTTTATTCATAAAATTTTAAAGAATTATCAAGAGAAGTAAAATAAATGTGTTTAATTTTTAATATTTAAATTCAATGCACATATTTTGAGCTTTTATTTGTATGTTTTCAATAAATATAATTTTCGTAAAAATAAAATCTTAATACCTTTTTTGCATACCTATTAAATAGGTATTTAATTGCGGCTCGCAAAAAATTTCAAATTCTGAAAAATGGCTTTACTATCAAGGAGCTTGGCCACCCCTGTTATATAATCTTCTCCTAACTCTCTTTAATGGCCTGCCAACTGGTGCGATTTCTAAGAACTATTTGGAGTCTCCAAATTAGGACTAAATTTAAATTACAGTCCAAATACGAATGTCAATAGCATTATGAAGCAAAAATATATATGTTTTTGTCTGAGATCCATATGCATGAGAGAGTTATTGATTTTTAATATATTATTCAGATTGTTTCGTACTAAGCTGCAGTCTTAATGGTTCGAAGGTCTGAATTTAAATCGCTAATAAGATTGTGCAGAAAATATTTCAAGTTATGAAATCTGATACAAAAATATTTTTTTCTCAATAAGCATACCTTATGTTCGAAGTCTTTCAAATCTTGTCCCAGAAAATATGAAGGGTAGCCATAACCAGGAAAATATGATCGCAATAGTTTAGGCAAGAGAGCGGTCGAATGCATAAGACCCTTAAAATTAATCCGTTTTTTAAACTCACCCGTTTCGTGACCCATTTCCGTTTTTCATGCTAAGTTGTAAAAAAAAAATAATATTTCAATTTTTCATTTCCTAAAAACTACTTGATCAATTCTGCTCACATTTTCGATTTTCTCATTCAGATTATACAGTTAAAAATGACGTAAGAAATTGAATACACTATTTTTCATTTATTATATTATTTGTCTTTCAAAAGTTTTTTTTTTACCATAATTAAAATAAACAGTTAAATAATAAATTAAAGTAAAAAATTATTTTTACGTAATTATCATCTTTTGATAAACGTGTATTATAATTGCGTGTAAAATTTATCTAGTTACTTTAAAGTGCTCGAAAAATATAATGAAATAATCAAACTGTGAAAGTATTATAAATAGTCTGAAACTTTCGACCTCTCTCCTATCTACAACTATCTGCACTATTTATTTCCAGATAACCACCCATATTTTGATGGACAGGATCCCTCAAAAAAAGGCATTTTTACTCAGAGAAAGTACCCTTTTCAATTTAAAATATCGTCGACACAAAAATTTAAGATTAATTCTCGAACCATTAAGATTTCATCTTAGAACGTGAAAATTATATCATTAGATTATATGCTATTGAGATATTCCGTTTTTAATTTTGGCAACTCTTCATTCATCAGCCGTTCTATAAAAACATACAATAATGTGTCACAAAAAAATTAAGTCTTACCAAATTTCAGAAAATATCAGACTAAAGGTATATCTGAGAACAGAAAGGTTATTTAAAATGTAGTAAAGTGCTGACAAGACTACGTAAAAATATGTAATCTGTCAAAAGTGATTTTTCAGGTGTAATGCAGCTGCTTTCTTAACAATATATAATGAAGCTCATTTAGATATAGATTACATTTTACTTTTACAAATCAATCAGAATCAAAAATTGAGTTTCTGTTTCACCATTTTTGTTCTGTTTAATATCAACATATATTTAATAAGAAATTTGAACCATTTACAGATTCTCTGATACAATACTTATTTTTACTGAGTTTTATTATGGTATAAATGCACTCTCAGATAAATAGATTAACCTTGTTTCAGCGTACTATATTTGCTTTAACATTTAAGTGAATTTGCACCACATTTTAAAATGCTAAACTGAACCAGCTTCGTAAAAGTTGAACCATAGTGCGTATTACATAATCAGGTTTATTAAGCATAATATGGTTCACTATATGATATTGACGCACTCTCAGATGAGAAAAATAAACTCTTAGATAAATCAGTTAATGTTGATTAATAATGCGGTGCAAATTAGCACCGTATTATTGATCAACGTTAACAGATTTATCTGAGAGAGTATTTCACTTAACATTGAAACAAACTTTTTCCATATTTCAATATATAGGTTACATTTAAGCTATGCTTCAGCATTAAAGCTAATTTATTTCAAAATTAAGACAAATTTGCATCGTATTTTAAGGTGTTCAATTAAACCATCGCTGCTACAAGTGGAACTATAGTCCGTATAATACAAGATAACATGGTGCAACTCATCAACATATTATAATCGCAGAAAATGTCATTTATATAACTTTGGAGTTCTTGTGCTAT